TTGTTCAAGTATATATTCCTATTAGCACAGAATATAACAGATATAACTAGTCTAGAAGGAAAAACTCTGAATTCAAAACCTGTGGAGGGTTGTTTGGGGATCTTGTGCCATATAGTACACCAGGTCTCTGTATTCAGCCATTCAAAAAAGCCTTCACCACTATAATCAAATTATATGTGCTGGTGTCTGACTGCCAGTTCCTAGGAACTGAGCTGCTTGACCCTCATACATTGAATACAATGTAAATAACATATATTTGGTTAGCACAAATTTCTTATATACCTCTTTTTTAATCATTTTAGAGAACCTTTTTGCCTTTTATCAAAATGGCTGATGCTAACCTCCAGAAGAGTGGCTCATTACGCCTTCTTGGGCTAACATTTTTCCACTGAAATGAAGTGGAAAGATTATATTGAATCATTTGCTAGAGTTGCTACTAGGAAAATTGGTTCACTGTGTCATGCTAGACAATTTTTCTTGCTAGAATCTATCTTATATATCTATGTCTACCATTCCGTCATGCAACGAATATACTTGTGTGTCATGTGACTTTTGAAGACCTAATTTTGAAGCTAATTTTAAGGGGGTTGCATCATACATGAGAGATAAAAATTAGCATATGTACTGCTGGCCCTGGCTATGCCATTTGACCAAACTATATATCCATTTACTGTAGTCAAATTAGCTTCAAAATTAGGTCATCAAAAGTTGCATGATATGCAAGTATATACGGTATCTAAAGATTCTTGATGAAATCCAAAAAAAGGATCTGCAATGTTATTGGTCTTGACCTGGCATCTTGACTACAGTCAATTTCCTATTGCTGTAAAGTAACTTTCCTGTACCTTTTCTATAAATATTTTCATGGTAATTGTTCTGAGCTTTTGTCTTTGGTACCTTGACTTTATGTGCAGTACTAGATTGGCAAATAAGTCTCATCATTTTATAGTTGACATGGCTAGATGTAACCATAACAGTTTTTTTTCTCTTGTACTTGTCACCTGTGGGACTCTATTCTAGCTTCTTAAGTTCCAGTCAACTTTTATCTTCCAAAATTTAAATGAAATGATAATCATTATCTGTTGTCTTCTTAATTCCTGTTCTTATAATATTCTCTCTCCTTTATAATGTTTTTTTTTTCTCATATTCTTTCACACTCCATAACCCTTGTGTTTTAGTGATTTTATTGTCTTACTTGGGGTGAAATAATTAAAAAAATTTTTTTTTAATTTAAAAAATACCTGGATAAATTATGATATTTTACGTGTTACTATTGTTGAGTTTGTAAAATTTGTCTGCTCCTATATATAGAGACTGGTCACATGATGTTAGGCGGTTTCTCATTGGTTAATAAAACCATGTGGGTTTAGAAAAATCTGACCACCACCAGAGAAGGGACTGGACATGCTCTGAAGTAACACACAATAAATTCTCTCCACCATCAACAGTACCAGTTGCTGAGGGTTTTAAAGATACAAGCTATCTAGCCCTATTTCACTCCACCAAGGGAAAGTCCACCTGACATATTCTCTATATATAGAAAAGGACATTGAGTTTTGTTTTAACTGTTGTATTCATGTTTAGGTGTAAATAAATATCTTTATTACATATTGATAAAGTATTCTTCTTCTTTGTCTCAGTCCCAAAGTAAAGTGGAACTAGCACAATAATATGAACTTCTTGACATTTTATAACCTTTATCAATATTTCCTTGATTTTTTCTACTTTTCTAAATTACTTACAGCAGTTTTTATTGCTTCCTATTACCCTTTTAATTTTCTCAGATTTTTTGTGTTATTTTTAAAGACAGTTTAGCATCCCGCTACCACTTTTTTATCAATATCAATTTTTGTAGAAATCTGTGCAAAAAGCAGATCACAGAGCTTATCAAGCTTCATACATATTTTCAGAAAATCTCAACTTCTGATTGGTCACTTAATATTTAAATCATGTCTGAATAACATCGACCTAATTCTTGACCTGACAAAAAAATAATTCCGTCAAAATCTGTCAATGCCTTTTTCGAGCATGTCACATGATTACGTTGATTATAAATATCAGACACAACTTCGTTCTTCCTCTTTCTTGATTTCATTTGTCTACAAAAATGTAGCCTTAAAGGACACTGTGTTCTGATTCTCAGTTCGGGCAGACACTGAAAACATATTCACACACGCACACATAGACGTACATACAAAATTTTCTAAACTACATGACAAACATACAAAATCTTCCAAACTACATTACAAACATATGAAACTTTTCAAACTTCATTTCAAACTACGAATATTCAACTACAAGCAATGGAAATTTAATTACAAGCATTACGGAACATTCAACTCTTCTAAAGCTAAAAGTTTACTCAAAATATTCTCAGCTTTATAATTCTTTCAACTCTCTTACAGTGAACATTTTGAGTGACAAGTTCAACTTTTGTGAGCTCGGATAAAAATATTTCATTAGTAAAAACTTTAATTCAGTCAAAGGGACATAATACCAACAAAAATAGTAACCTCTTTGCTTGTACATCATTATACAAATATAAATATAAATCTTGTTGTTGTTATAAAACCGTTTTGTGTTCCTTCTTGTTGTTGTTTCTCTTGTTGCTTTTGCATTTGCTTAAACATTCATAAAGTAAAAAATGTACAGGTTGATTTAGGCTGTCAATATTGTTACAACAGTTTTTTATTATTATAAACATTAAGAAGATTACAGGTTTGTTCCCTGCTAGGAGGTACATTTCCTTTGATAAGACTTTCTGTGTCTACATTGGTGAGCATTAATTTCACTGTTTGAAAAATAGGATGTCCACTCAAACACATGTACTCACTAAAATAATTTTTATAGTAATATTTTATATTAATAAAAACAAGATAATGAGAAATCCTCAAGTTGCATATAAATTCTCTCATTAGCAAATGAATTATTGTAAATATTTCTATTAAAATCTTATTATAAGCTAAACTTATAAGATGAAACTAATGACAAACAATGAGAAAGGGCTTTCAGACAAGATAAAAGTTGGTGGTCATGAACTTAAAGTAGAGGGTCAATTGAAATATCTTGGCTCAAATATTAGTAAAAAAGGATCCAGAATAGAAGAAAATTTTAAAAAGGCATAAACAATAACATCTGTTGCCATACTAAAAACCATCTAGAAAAGCAAGAACATCTGCCTGAAATCAAAGATCAGACTGCTGTGTGCATACTCAATCTTTCTGTATCCCTGAAAATCTTGGACATTAACAGCAGAATTACAGCCAAAAAAAAAACAAACATTGGAAATGAGATTCTGCAGAACCATCTTAGACATCTCCTGTGTAGACTGCATCACAAATGATGCTGTGTGAGACACTATCAGACAAGAAGCAGACCCAGACTTCATATGCACCACCATCAAGAAGAGCTGAAATAGTATGGACATGTCATAAGAGCAACAATCTTTCCACTGTCATCCTACAAGGTACCATCTTAAGCAAAAGAAGAGGCATACAGAGAAAAAAAATGGACTGACAATATCACTGAATGGACTGGGAGATCCATCAGTGATTCAGTCATTGGCATGCAAGCAGAGGGAATTGGTCAGGTGCTCAGATGGGCAGCAACCTTACAAACCATACCTGATCATAGAACTAATGATGCTGATGATGATATCCTAAAAATTCTTCCAACATTGTATGTAAAAATCTGGTAGTGTGTAATCAAGATAAATTTTATTAATGAAATAATTGTTATTGCAGTATAAAAACATTTTTTCATTTTACCAATTTAAATCCGAGGGCTTTTGATAAAAAGTAAGTTAAAATTTATAAATAAATGTCTTCATTATTTCTGAATGCCCTGGTACTCAAATGTTCAATTGATCAAAACAAATAATAATCAAGAGGTGACTGGGAGTGGAAGAGAATGAGAAAACTTTAGAGAGAAGAAAGGGCAATAAAAGAACAGGTTTCAGAAAAAAACAGAAGATGGCAGTTGACATTGCATTTAAATTTTTGAAGATTGTAGGTGGCAAGGAAGCAAAAAATTGGAAAACAGTTTCACAGATGAAAAGTGCAAGAAAAGAAACTCTTAGAATAGAACTTACAGTTGGCCCATATGGTTAGAATCTCACCATGGTTGATTTGGCAGAGACATGATTTCTTGATAATATTGGCCTAGAGAGATGATCCCAACATGTGGCACTTTTGGAAAGTGACTGAAAACCATACCACAGGTTGGCCAAACCCTTGTGAGTGGAGAAATGAACAGTTTTAAAGTCATTGATGATTGTACTAGCACAATGTGACATCATGACTGAGGGTTTAAGTGTCTTGCAGTATAAACCACAGGTGGGCTCTGTGAATATTGAACAAACAGAAAATGTGCTTGAACAGGTGTCTGGCAGTCACCCTAACAGGATAGCATGCTGAAAATTTTGTCAACATCACTTAGTAAATTTACTGTGAAAAAAACTACTTTTTTTTAATCATTTCACCCCAAGCAAAGCAATAAAGCCACTAAGTGTGTTACTGAGTGTGAGAGAATATGACATAAAAAACACTATTAAGAAAAGAGGACAATAAAAGAATTATGAAGACAGAAGATAATGATTGACATTGCATTTAAATTTTTGAAGATCAAAGTCGACTGGGAAACAAGAAACCAAAATAGAGTTCCACAAGCAATTTGAACCTAAGTTCAGGATTCTAACACTCTAACCATGCAGTTATGGTTGAATTGAATATTTGACAGTGATGATATTTTGCTTGACAAACATCTGGGGTCTACTTAGTCATAAACAAATCAATAATCAGTCAAATAAGCACTGAAATAATTCACACACTGTACATTTGGGTCACTCAGCTGTCATTTTGCTTATTGATTTTGTCATCTTTTTAGGGTTGGGTTTTTTTCCTTGCTTGTTTTTCTTCTTAAGCTAATATATTGTTATAAGATGGTGATTTTTTACAGGATTTCAAACTAAAACATTTTGTCTTTAATCTGGATATTATTAA